CTTATGGTTTTGAGTGTCTTTTTAAGGTCCCTCTGTTATTTTCATGATTATTCCTAGTATGAGTTTATTCTCAAGGGGGAGATTGTATGGTTAGAATGTAAGATTGTTGAGAGTTCTGATGTCTTTTATCTCTTCCTTTCTATTGCTATTCAAGCCTAAGACAAAGAGTTCCTCTTTGTCTTGTTTCATGTTTTGGAGTCATGTGTGATTGTGTGTTTCCATGGTCTTTTAGTGATATGCATATTCCCGATGAATATATGTTTAATGAGAAATTGAGCTTTTATGATCTATGTCCCGTATGTTAATGTGCATTTAGTAAGAGTTGCTTATATGTTTCATGAGGTAAATTGTTGAACATGCCTTAATGTGCTTTTGATAAAAAAAATAATTCATAATTGCTTCATGATGGTATGATAAGCATGATTTGAGTTGGAAAAGGTACTTCCTCCAATGCGACGAGAAATGTTGAAGTTTTCATGCATTAAGTTTCTAGATGTAAATCCTACTGTCTTGTGTTGCATAGGGTACGTTTGAGATGGAGTTGATGTTTTTCATCCTTGATTTGTGCATAGTTTATAATTTTTAATGCATTATGGTCTTCTAATCTTGAGTCTTTATTTCCCTAAAGTATTTAAAGTGTCATTCGAGGACGAATGTCTCCAAGAGGGAGATATTGTTATGACACGGAAAACTAGTAGGTGAAACTAGATTCTTACGAGTGTGTTGTTGAGTTTGATATGGGGTTTAGTGTTGTAAAATTGGTTCTCAAGCTTAGGTTGAGGGGTTAACTTCAAGGAACAATGCCCCAAGGACCAACTAAGGGTCCTCGAGGAGGACCCTTAAGCCTAACACCAAGGCTTCCCCAAGAGGCAAAAAGTTATCAAAAACATGGGACCTATGCTCGGTAGGTCCATTCACACCCCTTGGAACCCATTTGTAGGTCAAGGCCCCAAATTAGGATCTTCTGAACCAAACCAATGATGTGAAGTATGGGGCGTCACCCACCCATGGTACGTGGGTTGGTGGGCGTAGGTCTCACTGTTGAACTACCTATTCACAACCAAGGTAAGGGTAAGTTGGTAAATTCTTTTTAAGGTTAGTTAAGTTAGGGGTCAATTTATTTTGATTATTTAGAGTTAGTTAAGGATTTTTAAACTTTTAAACACCTTTTTTCAATTCATTATTCCCTATAACTCAAACTTAGAAACCAGCTCCTCTCCAAATAATTCTCTCTCTAGAAATCACCACTTTAAAAGAGAAAGTCAAGGTTTGGAGCTCAAGCTTTAATATTCCTCACACAATTTTGTAGAGTTCCTATAACCAAGGTATGGTAGTTTTCATCCTTGATTAAGTTTCATCCAAGGAGTCCCTTCAAAAGATGATTACAAAGTTTTCAAAATCCCCCAAAAAGTCTAAGCATGGGTTTAATTTCAAAACGTTTTCAAAGGTTTGTATATGATGAATTATGATTGAACTGATGAATTCTCCCCCATGAATCCATGATTCCCCCAAAATACTAAATTGTGAATTTGTGATTTGGAATTTATTGATTATGAAAGCATGTGAAGAGATTAAATTTATTTTGATTTAGTTTATTGGATCATGACATTATTCATGCCTAAATTGTAGTATTCTAAGTTTTGGTGAATTGTGATTCACGGTCTTGAAGGGAAATTTAAGATGGTTGATGTATAATTATCATGCTTAGGTATATGTTTCTGATTATGTTATTATGACTATAATGCAACAATGGTGTTGTTGAAAGGTTTTTTCACTGTACACACTCATGAATGAAGAATGAATGAAATTTCAATGATTTAGGTAATGATGATGTTTTGATTGAATGACTATTCTTAATTGTACTCTAATGAATGAAAATGACATGTTGTGAAGGGCCTTCCTCGCGATCTGGGGATTTGTTAGTTGAAAGGATATTCTCACCTTTGAATCTAAGAGCTATCTTAATGAATGAATATCGACTTTGATATGAATACTCATCCATGAGTTGAGGCGGTGTATCTAGTAACAATCTCTTATCCCATAATAATAAATTAAAGTAATGAATGTTAAGTACTCCGTGGGGAATAATGCTAACACCGAGTGGATATGGCTTGAGATAGTTGCTCATCGGTGAGTTGAGGCGGGATATCTAATAGCAATCTCTTGAGATGGATGCTCATCCGTGAGTTCAGGCGGGGTATCTAGTAGCAATCTCCCTATCCCATGACTATGTGCCCTCATAGGTTATAGTTAGTTGATCCACATAAGCCAAAAGGTAATGTTCCTACCTTAGGCAAGTAGGAATACCTTATCTGGTGCGGGTAACACCGGGATTCCATGATTTGATCACATGGTCTATATCGATTAAGGCTTACCCCCCCCCCCCACAAAGAATGATAATAAACTATGACTTCTCAGGAATGCACTACTTAGTGTGGGTGGGGTATGTAACTCCATACATGCATTGCACAAGTAAGCTTTAAGAGTAGCATGGTGTTTTCCATTATTTTATAATGTTGTAGGATTAAGGATGTGAGTTTAGGTACTATGGTTACTCAAGAAGTCCTATGAATTATGGGTTTTAGTATGGAATGCAATCCATACATTACACGAGTAGACTTTGAGAGGGCTACAATGTGTTTCTCTAAAGTCCTAATGACTAATGAAATGAATGTGCTCCTAATGAAACTAATGATAATATTGACTTAAAGGCTTAATGTAATGATGTATGCTTCACTTGGAAATGTTATTATGAGTTACTTTCCTTGTTTGACTTACTAAATGTATACGTTCATTATGCATGATTATTGATTTAAGATGAGTAATGAATATTAAATGGCAATTTCATCTATAGTGGCAAATGGTACTTAGTAGGAATAGTAGTATGAGATGCTATTCATACATTCCACAAGTATAGCTTAGGGTTACCTAAGGTGAGGCTCTAATATGTTGAATAATATGTTGAAATGACTTATATGTTGATTATGGTTGTATCTTATGCCTTTTATTCTAAGGTTCATGATGTTTCTCAAAATTTTCATATAGCATGGTTTTCAACTAAAATTTCTTTTTTCAGCATGGTTTTTGCATGACTATCATACTTAGTACATTAAATATGTTAACCCATATTTATTTTATTTTTCTACAAAGTGTAGGTTCCAGCATTTGAGTTGATTCCTTATAGTTTAAAAGGCTTGGATTGAGTCGTTCCAAAGCTTGTGGTATGTACTCATGGATTCAAGGACAAATGTTTTATTGATGTTCCATGTCTTTCAGTGTACTAGATATTTTTTAGACTTTCTACTCTAAGGGTCGTGACCCTACTTTTGATTTAAGATGATTTTAGATGGCCATGTGAGACAAGTAGACTTTTTCTATTTAAATGTTGTTTTTGATTTTACGGACTTAAAAGAGTTTTAAATTCCGCACAATTTCTATTATCTTCTGTGATGACATGTTATGATGCTTTTCAGAGTCATGTACATCATGTTACATACTAGGTGTAGGCTCAGGTCGTAATAGTGAAATAGTCATTGACTGGGGCCCAATACATGTTATCGAATAGCTTGCAGTGACTATAATGTATTTAATAATTTTTAAAAATGCATTGGACTAGTTTTAACTTGATAGAGTCGGACCGACATCGATATTAACCGGACCGACACGAACCGATAATTTCCCATTTCCGTCCTACTACCCCTCTCTGTTCAACTTCAAATCGGACCTCACCGGAGCCTAAAAGAAATGTACCAGTCCCAAACGAAACGGTACCAACACCTCCGGGTTCCATTGCCAAGCTTAGGTGGGAGTGGGGGATCTAAATATCCATGTCCCTAGGTAATCCTGGCAGCAAAATAGGGAGGTGTCAGTACCGTTATGTCCTTGTCCGTTAACAGTTTGGTACCAATTCGGTAGGCTCCAGTGTGGTCCATATTGAAGTTGAACTATGAGAGGTTTAAGGACGAAAATGGAAAATTACTGGGTAGTACTAGTTCGGTTCTGGATCTGGTCCATACCGTTCCAATCTGACATATTCTTTTAATTATCTAATACATAATAACCATTGCAAGCCATTGGGTAACGGGTATTGGGCCCACCCAACGACTATTTCACCCTTTAAGCCCCCTAAAACACCCCATACCCCCAAACTTTTAATATCGCAAACTGGGAAATGGGATGTGAGTAATTGCCTTTGGGTTTAAAAATAGAAATGTAGTCAATGAGACAAATAGGAGGTTCGGTCGTTCTGACTGGTCTAGAGGGAGAAGTATTAGGTGTAGGGATAAGTAAGGGAGTGGCCTACTCATCTGCTAAAACAAAATCAAATAGATCACCCTGTACCAAGGTCTCTTTCTGCACAACATTAATTAGTGCAACCTCATAGTCGACTACCACAAGAGAATCACCATGTATAGGCGGAGGGGACTGTGAAGGGGCACCATCAACCAAATGATTCTCATAAATAACTAGGATTGGAATCATGCATAGTGTCAAAAGAATCAATGTTGAACATGTCCATTTCTATAGAGATATCCTTATGAAAAGGAAATTCAGATTCTCTAAAGCAGACAAACCTATTAACAAAGAAGGTTTTGTTAGTTAGATCATACAACTTGTAACCATTCTTAATCTTAGAATATCCAACTAGAATAACCACTCTTGCCCTTGCAGCAAACTTATCAGGTCTTGGGAGTTTGCTAGCATAACATAGAAAATCAAACACCCTAAAATGATCAAGGTTAGGTGCTTTTCCATACAAGAGTGCATCAGGAGTTTGTCCTTTTAACATTTGTGAAGTCAACTTATTGATCAAATAAACTGAGGTCCTGACACAGTCACCCCCAAAAGTGATGGGCAGTCCACTTCGGAATTTGAGGGCTCTAGCCACTTCCAATATATGCCTATGCTTTCTTTCAAATGTGTCATTATGTTGTGGGTAATATGGCCAGCCACTCTGGTGGACAATGCCATATGAAGCCAATAGTTGTTCACAATCTGAATTAAAGAATTCAGTGCCATTATCAGACCTCAATATTTTTACAAATGCATCAAATTGAATTTTAACTAAGCACAGAAAGTTTTTCAACACAATGATAACATCATATTAAGATTGTTTCAAGCAAACCCATGTATATAGGCTGTAGTCATCCACAATAGTAACAAAATAATACTTCTTGTTATAGGTAAGCTTTTTGTAAGCCCCCTACAAGTCTACATGCTGCAAATCAAAACAAGCTACTGTCTTAGTACAACTAGTAGGGAATTTTAACCTGTGATGTTTAACTAGAGGACATATATGACAGTTGTCCTGTATGATAGAGCTGACACATTTATTGAGTGAAGATATGTGTTGCATGACTGAGGTGGAAACATGACCTAATATAAGGTGCCAAAGAACTCCTTCAACATCACACTTGAAACTTGCAGTATTTGTAATTGGAGTGAGCTTCTCCTGTAAGAGGTATAAACCATCCTTTTCTCTACCAATCTCCAAGACCTTGCCATTGTAGAGCCCCTAAAATACACAAAAATCAGGGAAGAAGAAGACAACACATGATAATTACTTGGTTTTTTTAGACACAGAGAGGAGATTGAATATGAAATTAGGAACATGAGGGACATTCTGCAAGCTAGAAGTACTAATATCAGATAAAAAATCTCTACGGGGTGTAATATGGTGAGATGATCCATAATAAATGACCCACTCAAAATGAAAGACATTAGATAACAATGAGCATATACCAGCCATGTTAGAAACACACTCATTGTTGGATTGAGTCTGTTTACCAAACAACTTCTAATATTGTTGTTCTGTGAGGAAGTAGCCTGAACCTTGACTTTGATTGTTGGCACTGGAACTAGAGTTAACATTGGAGCTAGTATGGGCTGTTGGCTTGAATTGTGCAGGTTGTGTCTGTTGTGTTTGCTGTGAAGATCTCCTCATACTCTTGAAGACTTGAGGATAGACAACAATTCTATTGCAATTATCCTTCAAATGACCTTTGTAAGCATAATGGATGCAATGAATTCTTTCAGCAGTTTTTGGTAATCCTCCACAATTCCCTCTAGTTGTGTTTTCAGAAGACCCCCCATAGTTCCCGGGATTCTTCTGTCTATAACCAGGATTTCTCCGAGCTAGCATTGTTAAGGGATCCTTGTGAGTATCAACTACTACCAGTGATCGTTGGCTTTCTTCTTGAGTCATGATTGCATAGGCTTCACTGACTATCATATTGGTATTTCGAGAGAGAATGCTTCTTCTCAAGCTGTAATAACTCTCATTAAGTCCCATAAGGAACTATAATAATTGCTGAGATTTTAGATGTTCTACATAGATACTACACTTTTTACAACCACAGGAAGGCATTGAAATCATGACATCAAGTTCATTCCACAAATCCTTCATTCTTGAAAAATAACAAGTCATAGAATTAGTCCCCATCTTTAAATTGGCCATTTCAGACCAAAGATGGCAGATCCTGGTCAAATTTAATTGAATGAATCGTTCCTTGAATTCTTCCCGAACCTTTCTATCAGTCAAAGAATAAACAATGCTAGGAATTAGTTCAACTGAAACAGTGCTACCAATCAAGGATAGTACAATAGCATTACATTTTCCCATAATTCCTCGAACTCTCCTGTACAATTGCTCTTAATACAAGTGACATCCACAAACCCTAGCTTACCTTTCTTCGCAGAGCTATTTTCATCGATTGAAGCCACAGAGATAATTCTTTGGACCTGTGAACTTAATCGAAATTATTACTAGACCTAGAGAATCTGAAGCTTGAAATAAAACGGACGATGATGATCAAGTGTTGATATTGCTGGAGACGCCATTGATGCGTTAAATTGATCCTCTGGCATTTTTTCTCCTATTGAGAAATTGCGATGAACTCAAACTGAATATGCAGTTGGAGATGAGATCGCTACTTTGATACCATGTCAAATTTATGCTTAATACTCTGCACATACGTCCACCATTGATGTGGATCACGAAATATGCAGAGAGAATATTGATTAAGAAGAAAAGGAAACTGTTTTATTGAGTCTGAAAAGTAAAAGTTACAATCACATATGCTCTGTACTTATAGGCACGTTACTTAAATACTAGTGGATGCCAGCTGTCTGTTCTTGTAACAAAGATTTAAAATGACTAACAAAAATGTGGGTCACTTTAATAGTCTACTACCCACGATTACAAACTACACCTTAAAAAATGGAAAACCATCACTTCAACCGATCTTCAGAAGGTCTTGGGATTTGACCTCCACTTCAAAAACTAAGCCCTTATAGCAAATCTCTCATGGTGATTGGTGATGAACCCCTCAGTTTTTGGATAAAAACTACTCATAAAATATTATATTCCCCCTAACAACTATTCAAAAAGACCACTACTCCCTCATGGAAAACCCTTCTATGATGTTGGATGACTTGTCAACAAGACGTTCTATGGGAATTGGTAGTGGAAAAGGCATTCTCTTTTGGGAAGATTCTTGATTAAATCCAAACGAGACTCTTATAGAGAAACTTATAGGCCTTCTAGCTTGGAATGACCTAACACAGAGAGTGGCGGACCAGATCATTCACATTTCGATGACACAATGATCCACAACATTAAATCAACCTATATTCCAACATACACTCATGCTAACGACAGTCACACTTGGGATTGATCTCCAATGGGATTTTCACCACTAAGTATCTTTACAGAGCCATTCGTCCAGCTACCGACGATATCAACATCACCTCTTTTAGCTGGATCTGGAAACTTTCTATACAATCTAAAAATAAGTATTTTTTTTGTTTGGTAGTGTTGTCATCACAGACTCCCCACTAAATTGTACTTCGCGTGCATTAGAATTTCTCCAACTGATACTTGTCGCCAGTGCCACAACTCAGTCGAAGACACCAACCATATTATATTATTCTGCCCCATGCAAAATTTGGTCTCCTATTCAATTGTTACATCTGCTTAATGTTCAGGATTTGACCACTGCGCCTCCTATAGACTGAATTTCTACATTAATCAAGCAATCCGAGAAAACACATATCTATCCAACTCCTTTGGCCAGCCTTGATTGTTATGGTCTTCGGATTCTTTGGATTAATCGAAACAATAACCACTTTAACCATACAATAAATATCCGAATTACAGACAAACTATGCAAAACGCTATTGAGTTTCACTCTTTGGTACCAAGCAAACGCCCTTGAGTTCCCACTTCCATTGACTTATCTTGATCCCTTCCTATTAGCGGTTTCAAATTAAACACTGATGTGACATGTTGGCAGACTACTCGAAAAGAAGGCTTTGGTGGAGTCATTCGCGATTCTGCCGGATCGTGGATTATTGGATTCATGGGATCGGTACACAACACATCTCCTTTAGTTACTGAAATGGTTTTGCTATTTCACGGTCTTTGCAATTGCCCAACTACACACCATACAGCCGTTAGAAGTTGAAATGGATGCTCTGGTTGTTGTACATCTACTTTGTAATCCTCATACTAATGCATCTAATCTCTTGTTTGATTGCAGGTGGTACTTCACCAACTAAATAATCCTAAGCTAAGGCACACGTACAGGGAAAACGACGGAGTAGCGGTAGTTTAGCTATAGAAGCATCTTCACATGACCTTTTGGAAGATATTGTTATGCTAGACGCGCCACCAAATTTTGTCAACACCACACTTGCTGATGATCGCACATGAAAGCAAAGGAAAAGGACTATCTCAACTTTATCTTATAATCATATTAGTTTAGATAGTAGTAATATAGGTAACTTTACTATTTTTTATCTGTCACTCTCTACTTTTTTGTGTACTACGCAACCTTTGGGTAGCATTGATCCTACGACTCCCACTCCCTGTATAATGTAGTTATATATATATAATATCCTTCCTTACTAAAAAAAAGTAGCTCTAGGAGAGTGCTTGTGCCATGAGAATATTCTTTTATTATCATACAAGGTTTGGATATTGCAATTGTCTTTATCAATGCAACTAAACAAGTGAGATTACCTATATGGTATCTGCACAAACATACAAGTGCTTTTATGTATACATATAGATAAGTGAATATACAATATTTTTATTTAAAGAAGATTATGTTGTACATGTGTACATAGGAAGAGGTGTTTATATGAAAAGGAGAAAAATAATAAAAGACTAACCCCCTTGAGATAGCAAAGACTAAAGGCAGACACAACTTTCTCTACTTTTGTGTGCTTGTGATGCAAATCATATACGGTAGTTATCATGAATTAAATAATAACATTCAAAGTAGTTAATCTTTCGATTACCCCAACTAATTTGAAATGACAAATGTGTTCTGGCCATTGATGTGTGACGAATGAACCTTATGATCACTATAATATTATTTTTCAATTTTGTATCCCGCACAATATTCTTGTTGAAGGATGGGGTTGGAGTACTATATATGATATGTAGTTAATATATCTGTAATGTTTTATTAATAAGATTTTATAGGCGTTTACTGTAATAAAAATACCCAAGCACATATGTCATTGATCAATATTATATATTTTATCCTTCAATATGAATCAGTGCTTGCTTCATTTTATTGTATGATGGAAAATCAAAGAGATCAATATTATATTGATATTAGTATATTATTTGAAAAAACCCAATAACTTATCTATTTCAGACATGTACATGATAATATCGTATTAGAATGTGAACTAATTCAAATATGTTGGGCTTATTCTAAGAACAGACCTTTGTCCATCTAGTAAACATACAAATGAGAGAATGAATTATGCCATTTTTGAATTTTGGAGTTTCAGTATTATATCTTGGCATCAAGTATATGTCTTACTATCGATCATGCAACATCAATTTTAATATATTATATGTAATTAAATATTGGTATATTATACTATATGTTGGGTTTCACAAAATGTTAATGGGAAAAGAGAAAAGAAAAAATGGAAAAGTTAGGTAACCAATTTTCACGGAAAATGAAAGTCATTTGCCAAGTGCAAATGAAAAGTCATTTCTCCCATATTGGTAAAAGATAGGAAATTGTTGTCCTTATATTAGGAAACACTTTCTATAATTCTTAAAAGGTTAATAAGAAGGAGCCCCTCGCGCCGTGTTTGTCGCTCGGCCTCGGCTTCGGTGTTAGATTTGATCAATTAATTTTTTGGATAAAATTTATCTAATCAATTCTATTAATCAAATTTTTTCTCTTATAAATTAATTTAGAATATTAGTTAAATAACAAAATTAATATTGGTACAACAAAATTTATTAGAAATTCGCGTGCAACGATAGTAACGATCTAATTGCTAAAAAGTCGTTATTTTCTCAAAAGACACATCTTTCCGAAAAGTTGTTATTTTTCCCAAAAGACAAAAACTTCTGGACAAGACGGGTTGGAACAGATGTGTCTGAAAGACATGTTTCTTTCTCAAAAAGGCTATAAAAAGGAAGTCATTTTTTCGTTTTTATATACTGAAAAAATTTTCTCTCTCTGCATAGATGTTCTCTCATAAACAAAAATTGTCGATTGGCTGAGTCTGTGTATGACTTGTACTGTTCTTAGGTTTGTTGAAAGTCATTAAAGTTTGGTGTACTGCTACTTCTTTACTGGTTAATCTGTTTCATCTTGAGAGAAATTAATCCATAACCTCAGGTTCAATGAAGGGATTAAATTTCTTGAGGAGACACAATAGGTTTAGTGAAATCGGATTGGATGTGTTCTTTTTCTGTTTATTTCATCTTCTTTCTGTTTTTGTAATTTTAAATAACATTCATACAGGTGATAAAAAATCTTAAATTTTAAAATTCATTCGATTAACGATTAAAAGAACAGAAAAACTTTATCATTAAATTAGAAAGAGTCTGTGTAAAGATTTATTCTTTACTGTTAGTATTTCACATACTAAAATTATTTTTCATTTGTGACAGAAAAATGATTAATTCAAGTCAAGTAAATGCTAGAAAAGTGAGTGTTGCAACAGTAAGTGCTACAACAACATTGTTTGCATACAATCGTTCAACTGTTGCCTTAGCACTGACTAAGAAACCTGCAAAGTTTTTTGAAGTCGACTTCAAGAGATGGCAACAGAAGATGTTCTTCTATCTCTCTACGCTGATTCTGCAGAGGTTCATTAATGAGAATGTTCCTGTTATGTCAGATGAAACTCCATCGGAAAAATGATTCTTGATAACAAAGGCATGGACAAATTCAAATTTTTTGTGTAAAAATTATACTCTATGTAGACTGCAAGATGATCTATACAATGTGTACAACAATATCAAAAACACAAAAGAACTCTGGGATGCTTTAGAAAAGAAGTTCAAAACAGAGGATGCCAAAATGAAGAAGTTCATTGTGGAAAAGTTTCTGGATTATAAAATGAAAGATAGTGTCACGACCCAAGTCCGGGCCGCGACTGGCACCCACACTTACCCTCCTATGTGAGCGAACCAACCATTCTAAGCTTTAACATTTCAATATAATATTAACAGAAAATAATGCGGAAGACTTAAACTCATAAGAAAAATCGAAAATCAACTTCTATAACTCAAAAACTTATCATTATCCCCAGAATCTGGAAGTCATCACCACAAGAACATCTATAATCAAATTACTAAACTAAGTGTATTCTAAGAAGCTAAAAATACATAAGAAGCTAGTCCATGCCGGAAGTTCAAGGCATCAAGACTTGAAGAAGAAGATCCAGTCCAAGCTAGAAACATTAGCTCACCCTGAATTTCCGATGTAGTAAGACTGGCTTGAATTACTGTTGAGTCGAAGGTGACGGCACGTTTGCTGCACTCCACAAATAAACAAAAAGAAAACAATAAAAGTAGGGGTCAGTACAAACCACGGGTACTGAGTAGATATCATCGGTCAACTCAAAATAGAAAACAGTATATATTAAGCAATATCATAAAATCAACTAATATCCTTAACATGCAGCGTTTATAGTTACCATACCCTTGGTTACAACACCAAGCACATCAATGAGGACTCACGCCTCCTCATCATACTTATTTGGGAATTCAGTTCATTAGATTGAATATATTAACATTTTTCAAGATTCAT